CTGCGAGGGAGGGACGGGGTGGGGGGGAGCACATCTGAAAGACGGAAAGACCTGGCTCCCTGAACCATTGGGAGACAGCCTGGATGGGTGAGGTGGGCAGTGGTCCCGTCCTGGAGAGAAGGCACTATAGTTTGAGATTTACCTCGAGAGCAGTGAGCAGCAGTGAAGACATTTACTAAGGGAGAGGCTCCACGAGTTTGGGTTGTTCAGGTCTCACTGGCTGCGTTGGGGAAGGGGCGGTCCTGGGTCAGAGTGGGCGCTTCATCCACTTTTGCTGTCGTCATTGCACAGGCTGCTGGCCTCTTTGCTTTGGAGCTTCTCCCTGGCTCTGGGTGTGTGCACGGTTTGGTACATGCACTTTGGTGTGGACATACTGCATACGTGATAAAATGTTAAAAAGGATGAAAACATGAAAAAGGATGAGAGAAAAATGAACAGAAAAAGAAACGCTGTTTTCTTGCCCAGCCCAGTGTCTGTTCAGCACGCTGGGAGAAATGTACCCCACTTTGAAAACCCCCAGCCTGGACAAGAGGTCATGGAGCATGACCCATGGCAGTGGAAACCGTTTGTAGAGATTCGGAGGTTGCAGAAAGTACCGCTAGGTGGACTAGCGGTAGTAGAGAGGAAGGGGTGCGGAGGGTCCGAGATTTCTGGTTTGTGCCCCTGAGAAGATCACCATGCGCGCTGGAGGGCTGGCCAGTGCTCTCGCAAAAGCTGGCCGTGTTTGTGAAAATCGCCTGCCTGGCTGCGCACATACTAATAATCATGCCCTTAGTGACCAAGGCCATGGGGAAGGGTGTCAGCTGGTCTGCTGGGCTGCTCAGCTCTGTAGGGAAGAGAAAGTGGGACGTGGGTCCCTCCTGCCTTTACGGGTGTGAGTGTGAGTGCACAGTGGGCCTGGGCCGCTACTTCCGGTTGCCTCTTGAGGCCTCTTTGGCTGGAGGCAGAGCTGTTCTCGGCGGGGCAGGTGCTGGCCTGGGGAGCGTGTGCAGACTGTCCTTGTTCAGGTCTCTAATAAATTACTGGCGGTTTGTCAGCTGTCAGCAGCCATTCTCACGTGCTTAGAAGGGAATAAAATGCATTTGAGGCCGTAAGTGGGGGAAAGATGAAAGAAATGAAGAGCTGCGGGGGAGGCCCGTATGTGCAGCTCTGCTGAGGCCCCGCACAACAGCACGAGAGCAGTGTGTAGGTGGGCGCATTTCCTGAGATAGGTAGACTTCCTTATTAAAAACTACCTATTTTGAGACGAAGATTTTTTGAAAATGTATTAAAGTGCCGCTTTAAAAATGCCATCACTCTGAACACAATTGCTCTTTGTTGTATTTCTCACATCTTCTGGCACAGAGCCCCGCAGTATGAGACACACACGTGCATACACATTCAGATTTATTGAGATATTATTGAAAACTAAAATTGTAAGATAGAAAGTGTACGTCGTGATCTGATGCAGTATGTGTTGTGAAAGGATTTCTCCCACCTACTCAGTTAACACATTTACCATCTTACCCCCTTTTTAAAAATGATTTTGGTGAGTTGGTAAATTTCATTTATGCAATGCAGTGCTATCAGCTGTAGTCACCGTGTTTTACATTAGATCCTCAGTCTTTACTCATCTTGTAGCTGAAAGTTTTTCCCTTTTTACCAACTTCTCTCTATTCACCCCCACAGGCCCTGGCAACCACTTTTCTACTGTTTCTGTGCGCTTTTTAATTAAAAAAACTGTTTTAACATTTATTTATTTTTGAGAAAAAGAGAGACAGAGTGTGAGGGGGGAAGGGGCAGAGAGAGGGGGAGACCCAGAATCTGAAGGAGGCTCCAGGCTCCGAGCTGTCAGCATAGCCTGATGCCGGGTTTGAATGCACAAAACAGTAAGATCATGACCTGAGCCTAAGTTAGAGGCTCAACCGACTGACCGTCCAAGTGATGCCGTGCAGTCTCTGTCCTTCTGCACCGGGCTCACTGCACTTAGCATAATGCCCATAGGGTCCATCCGCGTGGTTGCCAATGACAGGGTTTCCTTCCTATGGCTGAATAGCATTCCACTGTGTGTATCCGTCGTGTTGTGGGATGGAGTATTATACACACACACAGACACACACACATACACACACATGCTCTGCACCTTCTGTATCTGCTCATCTCAGGTAGTTTCGGTATCTGGACTGTGGTGAATGAGGCTGGGCAGACTGAGGGATGTGGTATTCCTGGATACCATGATTTCCTTGCTTTGGATGTGTACCCGGAAGGAGGTGGGATTACTGAAGTCAGGCCAGTTCTTTGTGGGAGTTTTGAGGCACCTGCAGAGTGTTTCGCAGTGGCCATAGCAGTAGGCCTTCCCGGGGTACGTGTTCTGTTTGTGATGCGGCATGGTGTCTCCCTCTGTTCTGCTCTAGACGCCCGAGCACAGCCACAGTTCATGCCCACTCGCTCTCACGTGTCTGTCGCAGGACTTCACAGTCATGAGGGAGATATCAGGGGCCCTTAGTGACAGGCTGAAACATGAACGCTGCTAATTTGGAAGCTGATGATGGGCTCACTCAGCAGATCAGTTTTCCAGAGAGTAAATCAAATTAAAACTGGCTTTAAGCAAACATGATCTCATTTAATCCTCAGAAGAAATGATGAGATGGGTGATGTCCTCATTACAAACAGCCTTGGGACAGGTCTCCCACAGTGACTGCATCCAGCAGGAAAATGTAGTCATGCCCATCAGATTTACCTGCCCGTCATCGCTGCTGCTTCTGCCTCACCCAGGCTGCTTCCATTGTGCGATGTGACGAGACTGTTCTAGGCTGAGTAGCTGATACAGGTGGTCGTTTCTCTTCTCTGGAAGTCAGATAGAGATGTTCAGCTTTGCTTTATTGATTCCCCTTAACCTGCTCCTCAGCCGATGCTTTTCTGGAGGGCCCGTCCTTCCTGCTCCCAGCCCGGAGCCCGTTCACACCCACCGCGGCCAATGCAGGGAGAGCTGCTCTTGCAGAGTCCCGCGCTCCTCCCTCCCCCTCCACTGAGCATCAGAGTTGAGCAGGAAGCCCAGGCAGGCTTCTGCGTGTGACGGAAAGAATAATTTAGTGTCTTTGGGGAAGGATGGAGAGGAGTGTCTTACACGATGGCAGGGAGTGTGGGTCCTGGAAAGCAGATGCCTGATCCCGAGTGCACGTGCATGGCGTGATCGTGTAAACTGTGACAAGTGTGGACGTTTCTGGCTGAAAATGTTCTGTCTTCCGCAATCCCAACGGTTCCCCTGCATTCTGACAATTGTCAGATGACTCTGCTGAGACGATCGGTACTGGAATGTGGCAGTTTCTTTGCTGTCAGAGGCAACATCATTTCTCAGGTTTTCCTTGTGAGTTTTTATATTTTCCTGACTCTTTTTCCCTTTAAATATGAATTAAAGGAACTGAAGACTAAAAGCTGAAAACCAGGCATGTTTACTTTAATAAAGGTTTTATTAGAAGTGGTCATTTACAGACATTGGTAAGACAGGTTCTTTAAAAGTTTAAACTCAAAATAGAATTATTGACAATTTCCTAAATTGTTTCTCTCCTCTGCAATGATGTGCTCGACTTGGTAGATGTGTTATACGTGTGCCTGTAGTCTCCCTCCTGTCATTACGGTAATGTGCATGCAACTCACAGGCCTCGCGTGGGTTCTTGGAGGTACTTAGCAAAGGTGCCATTTAGCAATCTTAAGTATTCTGTTTCTGTTTGAAAATATTTGTGGTATGTATTATTTTTAAACCAAGATTTAAACTTAATTGGATGATATTAAATCTAATTTCTAAAAATGATAAAAAAATTCTCCTGATTATTTAAGATTTATTACCATGTTCAGATGTACAGTCTTTAAATATAAGTTGGTTTGGTTCTGATTCTATGCAAGCTTTTTTTTTTAGCATAAATTGTATTATCTAAAGAGCACAGTTTAGAGGAAATCTAAACTACTGTCTTGTTTGCCTTTATGAAGTCTTTCTTAAGCCAATATTTTAATCTGTTTGTTGGTTTTTGGTTAATATCAATGGGCAAAGAAAATCTTTCCCATGCTGAAAAGAATTTCTTGGGGATTTTATAGAAAATTATTGATGTAAAGTTTTGAATGTCACTAATGTAATCCTAAGAAAAATACTAATTTTGTTTTTTCTACCCCACTTTTGAGCATCACCTTGATTTTATGTAAGCCCTTCCCTTTTCATAAATTAGTACCTTCTTCTTGTTGAGGTTTTTCTCTTAAAGAGAATTTACTTCATTATTAAGGTAAATTTTAATGTTGATAACTTAAATATTAAATGACTATTTGATGTGGCCACATGTTTTTCATAAGATACTTTGTCAAATATATATACATATTAAGAAAAAAAAGGAACAAAATGTGGCTTCTAAAAACAATGAATAGTTTTGATGAGTTTCAAAGTGCAAAGCAAATGAAGATGTTCTGATTTATATCAATGACTATAAGACACTCTAATTTCTCCAGGCTGTTTAAAATGCCTTTTGTCTTTTTCAACTAGTAGAACTGAGTTCATCTTATGCTGAGTTCATCATAAGCATTTCTCCTGAATTTTTCTCAGCCGCCAAGTCTTCTAAATGAGCAGTAATACCATGGAATGAACTCAGCCTTGGGTCTTGACCTCGTAAACCTCCGTTCTTTTTTTACTTTTTAAAACAAGTAAAAAAAAATTTACTTTTTAAAACATCATAAAATGTAAATGGATTGCACTCTTTGATTGTATAACTCGGGAAACAAGCTCTAAGGGCTTCATTTGGTCTGTAGCTTATTACAGGGTTTTTCCGCAAGTAAGATGACACATAAAAATTCTTTTTCAAGTTTATATTAAAGAAGATACGTTTTTATTAAATTACAGCGCTTCCAGAATGAGGATCTAGATAGGACGTACGTATAAAAACATTTTGAACCTTTCAAAGCACCTTTTAGTTTGTGTGAAGTTCTTCAGATGGCCCCGTTGTCCTTTGAAGCTTCTAACACCAAGGTGTCTGTTGCAGCCCAGAGCAAGGTTGCTGCTACCCAGGACAGCACTAATTTGCGATGTATTTTCTGTGGTAAGCAACATTATGTTTACATTACTTTTTCAAGCTGTGGTACATACTACTTGCACATTGCCATAACTTTTGTTTCCGTAGGCCATAGTCTGCTTTGTGGTGTTGGGATCGACAGCAGCTACTGTTGCATGTTGTGATACTGTTGTGGCTCATGTAGGTGATCTGGTCAGCTTTTGAGTTGGCTTCTCAGTGGGGATCTGGTTAGAACTAGAGTCCTAAAATGAATTCCTCTTCAGTTCTTACAGCGTGAACAAGGGGTGGTTTTGTTTGTTTGTTTTTGTTTTCAACTATTTTGTTTGAAGCAGTCTTTTAATTTATAATTTCAGGGACAGAATGATACCCACCGTAGCATGTTTTGAGAATGGGCCTTATACGAAGGAAGGGAGCTTTGCTCAGGAGTGAAGTTTGGGGTGTCTGTATTGTGAGGCAGATGTAAGCCATCACCGCTTCACTGGGTTGGCTTCAGAGGGACGGCCTTCTTCCTGTAGGACGTCAGGCACTTGTTGCTAAGGAGTGGGTTTGGGCCCACGGAGTGCTCGTTCACTCCCGTGCACACGTGTGTGCTGTTCGCACGCAGGACCGGCTGTGCCGCTTAGCTGCCCAGAGCTCCAGGTAGTCAGACAGGTGCACCTTCATCCCCTCACCCGAGGAGAGGGCTGCGTGTGCACACACGCCCAGACACAAACACAAGCCCCCCTTGTCTGAGTCATTGGTATCCTCATTTGATTCTCAAGCTTTCTGGTTTGAAAACCTAAGTTCAAAAAGTGACTTGTAATCCTTAGAACTTCTTTTTTATTGGCTCCTGTATGTGTGTGTGTGTATATATCTATATATCTATAGATAGATAGATAGATAGATATCTTTTTTTACTCCTGTATACCTTGACTGGCCCAATTATTTTACAAGAGAGAAAACCATAAAGTGACCTACTGCTCAAATTTTAGATAAACAGTTCAGGCATGTGTATGTACTTATCCCTGTGACTCAGTTTTTGATGTGATTCTTCAGGATTTCTGATATTGTTTCTTTAGCTATAAAGAGAATATTTTTTTCAAATTTAATGTACTCATTGGTTTAGGCAAAGAAGCATGTGTTAGAAATTTCCAAAAATGAAAACTCTGATGTATTTCTTAGTCACCTAAAGTTACATTTTTGGATTGCTCAGGGGCGACCCAGCGACAGCCGTGAGCCTGGGGGCGTGGCCCCTCATGAGCACCTCCTCCCCGGGGTTTAATTCGTGAGTCTCACTTGTGATTCTCTGCCTCCTCCTGGGGGTTCTTCTAGGCCACCTTTTGAACTAGCCATGAGTTATTACTCGTATTGGTGTTATTAGAGGACCTTTTTTTTTATTTCATTCTGAGAACCTACGTGGTGTTCTGTACTTAGCTACTTACTGTGTTGAGTTCCACGTGCAGAATAACTAATACAGTTAAACCAATTGCAGAGAGAAGATTGATTTGCCCTTAATAAAGAGGAATTTTTAAGTTGTAAAATAATGTGTTAAAAAGCAGATTTTCCCCATTATTACCTTTAATCAGTTTAACTGTGTATGACAATATAACGACCACCTTGCTAAGTTTACACTTGATTGTATTGTGTATAATAACACCTATCGGTCTTTTAGTCCTGTGTTTTTAAATAGTCTGTGGCTAAGTGTGAAACTACATTTGTGAAAATTAAAATGTGGTGGCAGGTGGATGTGCTTTAGCCAAAACTCAGTATGAAGTCCTGGTTCCCAGGAACCTCTGCTCAGATTCCTTTCATCTATAGAAGATACCAGCGACACGGACACAGTTTCTTAATCAGAGATGAAGTCACATCTCTTCCCTTTGAATTCTAGCCAGGACAGTTAGTATCAGTCTTTGTCTTTGGCTGTGGTAATAAAGCAGAGGAACTAATCCTCGAAAATTGCCACTGTTCTTTATGACCCTCCAGGAGGAAGGAAGCGGGCTCCCTTGTTTCTCCTCTCACTTCCCCCAGAAGAGAGCCGTCATCCAGCACATGATATGTGCTCTTAAAAATACTGTCGTTTGCCCACTGGGTAGGAAAGTGCCTTATTTTGCATTCTGTGAGAACATAGATACTCACTTAGGAATATGACCCATGTGAAGTAAGATAATTGTTACATTCTAGAAAATACAATGGCAGCCTGCTTCATGTTGCTATAATTGACCAGTTGTAGAACCCAGCGGGCTGACAGGAAGGAAGCACGGCCTTGTGTACCCAAAGTTTATAATTGACCTAGAACCCTCCTGTCCAGTGCTTTCAGTATATTTACATTATTCTTAAATGCACATGAATTTCAGTGTGTCATTTTCATGACTTGACAGTACTGATGGAGAAGAAACCAACAAAACAACTAAAGTAAATATAAGTATGAGAAGATGCAAGGGGGAAGGCTTCTCCCCTTCTGCCACCACGTAGAGAAGGTCTGTGGAGAGACCGGCTGCCCGTTATCACAGAGAACCACGTAGAAAATAATCTTCAGAGTTTTTCTCAGATCAAAATTCCCCTCATTTTAAAAGGGTCTTCCTTAAGGCTGCATGAATAAACTGTAGCACATTATTTTTATAATTAATGATATCAGCCAGAAAATATTTTCCACATTCTTAAAACCTCCTCTTAAAACAAGTTCGTGGGGCGCCTGGAGGGCTCAGTCGGTTAAGCATCCGACTTCTGCTCAGGTCATGATCTCACGGTTTGTGGGGTTGAGCCCTGCATCGGGCTCTGTGCTGACAGGTCAGAGCCTGGAGCCTGCTTCAGATTCTGTGTCTTCCCCTCTCTCTGCCCCTCCCACACTCATACTCTGTTTCTCTCTGTCTCCATAAATAAACATTAAGAAAAAGAAAAAAGAAAATCAGGCTAAATTAAAAAAGAAAGTTCGTTAAGTTTTTAACTTAGAAAAAATCCAAAACTGCTTCTGTACATTCCTTTTAAAAAATGCCTTTTTTGATTCAAGCTTTTTTTGAGTTCTGTCGAACTTTGTTAGCTTTTTTGCAAATCTGTTTAATAAAATCAGGATTGAGTTGAAATTTTGACACCTTTTTCTTGAATTTATGTACTTGAGTTAAAACTTGTATTGATAGATTTCTGTTGGTGAATTTCATCTATCAGTATGACCGTGGAAGTAACACACGCTCCCACTGGATGTGAGTAGTCTGACAGCATCCTCCGATGAGACGGGTGCCGGACAAGTCTCTCTGACCCCCTGGCATCCTGCTGTTTAATTATTTATTTGAGCAGTGTGAGGTTTTCACTTAAATAAACAAACAGTATTTTAAAAAAGAGTTAAACCATAATGGTCCGGTGAGTTGCCCAAGCTACATGCTCAACATTTAATATTTTTGGATAAGTGTAACTTTGGATGTAAACAAATGCTTCCCCCAAATAGTTTGTATTTTCTCAAGTTTACCCCCACCCCGATCTTCTATTTTCTCCCTCCTTCTGCTAAAGAGATGAGACCTCTTCTCCTTATAATAGTATTAGACATTAGTGTATGGCTTAATATGAGAGTCTGTTTTTAACATCAGTGTGTTCATTTCCAAAAGAAGGAAAGAATTTCAGCCTGGTTACAGACGAGTTATATTTTTCATTTATGCAGAAATTTAAGTGCGTTTTTTAATTTAAAAAGATTTTTGATTTTTTGTTGCTGATGACATGGGATTAATATATTTTAATACTTTCTTTATGTGGTTGTCAAAATAGACTGTTAGAAAATCTAATGAAATATATCACTCAGTTGTCATGTAATTTGTCCTCCAAGAGACAAATTACATGATTAATCTAGAAATGGGTAAAGAGATGAGGAAAAAATGTAGTAGGTAAGTTTAGATCAAATTATCCTTTTTTCTACATTTGGGATCTATCAGTACTGTGTTAGTACATTGCCATGTCCTTCTAGCTGGGAGGGTCACTTCACTGTACGGCGCACAGTGGGTGCTTTTGTGCTGTTAACTTAAGAGATGCCAGAATTGGCATTAATACACAGAAGTGTTTCTCTGTTAACTGTTTCTTGAATTAGTGGTCTACAAAACAGTGAAAATATCTGTTAGGGGCATTTGCAGACACACTAGATTTACTTGTTTACTGGATTCTTTTGTTTACTGGGTTAGAGTTCAAGATTGTTCTGTTTTAACTGTGGGCATTGCATACTACTTAGGTCCAGTGTTTATTTCTCTCGTGATACATTGAATTTTTATATCCAGTGACATTAAAATGTCCCATATTTAATGGCATTCTTTATAAGATGCTAAAAATGGGTCTGCATTGTACATGGTATGTGGGAATGGAGGGCCATTAGTTTCTCGTGACAGCTGTATTGGTTTGAATGCAGGGTTTTGGTTTTTTGGTTTTTACACCAAATGAAGAGTTATTAAGATTACGTCTGTTACACTAAAAATTCAGATAAGTAGGCTAATTATATTTAGAAGTTTAGCAAATGTTTGTTTTCACCAGTGCTGGAAATGCCAAGCAAGTAAATAAGAATGGCAGCTTAAGTTGGGCAGATTTGATAAATGCATTAGCGTACTTCATCCTAGTAATAAGGTTCTCATGCTCTCTCTCTCCTGTTTTTCATTTCCAGTGTTCTATTTAGGTGAGTTTTTGAATTCTGATTTTTTCATTTAAGTTCTCCCTCTCCACTTCATGAATAAATACCCCAAAGAGAATGTCTCATTGTCTTAGAAAACGTCAAGCTCAGGTGCCTATTCAGATTTTCATTGAACACTCGTTTTACTCAAGCTCTTCATATATAAATGTTTATTTTTCCTTTATTGTTGATGTTTTCCATTTGTTTCAAGTAAGCTTTCTGGGGATGATGACAGTATTATGTCACGGTCTTTCATTTGCTGTGTGTTATGTAAAGCTTAAATTTTATTTTGCTAAACAAAAAAGAAGATACATTTGTAAATATGTGATGGTTTTATGTTATTCTTCTCATGATTTTATCTCCTCTGTCCAGCTAGCTATAAAGATAATGTTCATCTATAATGTTTTCCTCCCTTTTTAGGGCCAACATTGCCTAGACAAAATTCACAGCTACCTGCCCAAGTTCAAAATGGTCCATCACAAGAAGAATTGGAAATTCAAAGAAGGTAAATTTAAAAGTTGTTACTTGCAGTTTTTCTTTTCTACTGCAGAAGGCCCACGAGCATCTGGATATCGGAAGTAGATTATGTCGTGTCAGCCATTTAAAAGTCACTTAGCATACGAAATGACTTTCACTTCACAGAGTCTTATTTTTATAGTAGTTATAGATTGATCTGTGGTCATCATGGCTTTCCCATAACTAATTTAACTAGATAGTTGGCATCGTGTTGGCTGTTTGGATAAGTCACTGATCTTGAAATATTACCATAGAGCTTAGTAATGGATACAAACTCCTTCTGCTCATGATTAAATCATTGGTTCGGTGAGATCAATAGTATCGTCTCTTTGCTTCAATGCCGTTTATAAAGAAACAGATTTGAAATGATAACACAGCCTCAATTAGGTATAGTTTTTTTTCTGAATTAGCAGAGTTTCTGAACTGTAAGATGCCAGACTTGTAACAAAAGTGTTTTAGAACATGGGGGTACATTGAGCAACTAAAATTGAGTTAAACCAGGTGTTCCATTTTATTTTATTTTATTTTATTTTATTTTATTTTATTTTTTAATGTATGTTTAATTTTGAGAGAGAGAGAGAGAATGAGCAAGGAGGTGGAGAGACAGGGAGGGAGAGAGAGAGATTGAGAGATAGAGAGAGAGAGAGAGAATGAATGAGAATCCCAAGTAGGCTCCACGCTGTCAGTGCAGAGCCCAGCTCGGGGCACGATCTCAAGAACCATGAGATCATGACTTGAGTCGAGATCAAGAATTGGATGCTTAGCTGACTGAGACACCCAGGCGCCCCCAGGCGTGCCTCCATATTGTTTTGATGTGTGTCATGTCCCCCTGACAGACAGATGGGGATCTCTCTCCACATTCTGTGTGTGACCGCATGACCCTTGGGGAAGGCCCTTCCAAACTGAATTTTGTTGGGGTGCCTGGGTGGCTCTGTCAGTTGAGCGCCCGACTTCGGCTTAGGTCATGATCTCACGGTTCCTAGGTTCGAGCCCCGCGTCGGGCTCTGTGCTGACAGCTAGCTCAGAGCCTGGAGTTTGTTTCAGATTCTGAGTCTCCCTCTCTCTCTGACCTTCCCCTGCTCACGCTGTCTCTCTCTGTCTCTCTCAGAAATAAATAAAACATTAAAAATTTTTTTTTCACAGGCTCCCTGTTTGGTTAAGTCACTCTCTATTTGGTTGAAAATCTGTCCCAACCCTTTTGCGTGATGCTACAACGGATATAAATAAAACTAAGGTTTTGTAGAAATAAGGGAAGTTTAACAGTTGTATTTTAAACATACCAAAATAATTTCAAGAGTTAAAAATTGTAATGATACTATTGCTCACCCTCCCCCATACACACATGGAAAAATAATTAATAAAAAAATGATTGTAGTGTTATCAGGAGGGACACATTTGTAGAAAGCCAGGAAGAACCAGGAGAGAATCCGAATGTAACGGATAATTTTTGGCATCGTGGAGTGGACAAGCAGGTGGCCCTGGGGACGGGTGCTGGGTGAGGACGATAGGGAACAGAGACAGGAGCCTGCGGAGGGTGCTGCCGGCCGGTTAAGGGTCCTGGAAGGTGATCCACTGCACGGAGGGCTGTCCGTGACTTGCAGCTCGCGGTTTTACTGGAAGTGAGTATTGAGTGGATTTTTTACTGATTGCTGTGAAAACGCTGTCCCATCCAGGTGTTCGCCCTGCAGCGCTCAGCTGGACTTGAGGCTTTTCTGCTTGAATGTAGGAAGATACGTTAGGATTTGAAAATTGGATGTTGTTCATATTACTTGTTTAGATGAACATCTGAAGTCAGTCATTTGGAAGAGTGAAATCCAAATTTCTGAAAAATTGGTGTATATTTTAAAATTATTTTCCGTCCATAGTCACACACAGATTTCTTTCTTTTCTTTTAGATAAACTTTCCATCAGACACCACTTTTTGTCTCCTGGTGTTAATTTTCATTTCTGTTTCTTCTCTTTGCTCTCCTCCACCCACTTCTGTTTTTATCTGGTGAAGTCTGTGTCTGCTTGGATCTACTAGAAATGCCGCTTCCATCATTGACTAATTTCCGGTTTATATTTCTTCTCCTGGTGCACAGCCTGCCTCTTTGCTTTCTTCCTTTCGTTACCACAGTCTCTTCATCACTGACTGTTCTTCCTTGTTCTCCCCTCTGTTTCTTACGTAAGGGCGTGCACTTAGCCCTCTGTTTTTCTTCTGTACATGGTATACGTGTACGTCAAAGAACTGATGATTTCGTTGGATATTGTAGTTTTCTCTTAACTATCTTATGCTGACAGTTTACCCACATTTACCCCTGTGGCCCTGAACCTGAGATCCATATTTCCAACAAAATGGAGTAGTGTCACACATCCTTTTGAGAATTGGTGCCAGCAGTGGACTCCTGGCTTCTCCCACCCAGCCCCCCGTCCTTCTTAAATGCATATATATGTGCTCTGATGTGCAACACCTGCATGACATTTTGGAGGGTCACAGACCCCTGAGTCCCCACAAGTGACCCTCAGTAGAGAATCCGTGTTGCGGAACACATGTGTTCAGGTATCCTGCTAATACCTCAGGGTGTGCATGCTTTCTTCTCTTCAGTATTCCTCCCGGACGGTCTGCCTTAAGAAGTCTGCGAGTATCGTCATTCGCAGTCCCCGGTCCAGCACGCCCTGGGACTTCTTTCTCTGAAAGCCTGCTGGCTTGTCTCTTTGGACATTCTCATTCCCAGTAGCTTTTCTGGTGTTTGTTCCCTTACACACTGCCATGGTTCTCTAGTTCATTTTCCTGCCTCTGACCTAGATCCCCTTCTTACTGTCAGATTAATTCTTCTCAAGGTTGTTTATTCATGGTAGAATCTCAGCACCGGAAGGCACGAGATGGGGGAGCATCCTCTCCTCTGGCCTTCCCTTTGCGTTAGTCTCCGGAATGAATCGCTCCTAACCATCCATTTCTGCTTTTAGTGCTTTGTATGGCTTCTTCCATAGCCAGAGCCGAGATAATATGTTTGTTTCTGCCTGCTGATTAGTCCAGTGATGGCTGGTGGCACCTGACTCCACTAGCAAATCGGAAGCCTTCCTTTCCCTGCCCGTTCCCAGTGGCCACTGTTTGTAGGTCTTCTCTCGGTTTCTCTTTGAAACTGAACCTGTGTCTCAGTGTTAGGTGTCTCTTCACTGCTCGCTCTATGAGGGGAGCGCAGAGTCCTGCCGCCTGGTCCCTTCGCTCCCGCCCTGACCCCTGAGTTTGCCGTCTGGTCCTTGTGTTTGCAGGGGAGCCCTACCCACCCTGCTCTGGGGTCCTCGTTAGCCAGGGTAGGCAGAGTTGTCATGAGCATGTGACTAGCTTAAGTTTTTTGAGTTTTGTGGATTCTTTTTCCCCTCATTTCTCTCTTTAGCCTCAATATTTAATAGACCTTTTCCATTTGAAAACTTAATACGCATACTGTATTTTAAAATTTCTTCTCTCTGTTTTCTCTGTTGTCTTTTTTGGGAACTCCTACATGTCAAATGCTGGCCCCAAGGGTTATTTCTTCATGATGTTTATATTTTCTCATTTTCTGCTTTTTTTGTTGTTCTGTATCATTGGCGATATTTTTAACCATATATCCTAGACTAGCACTTGTTAGAAATACATTATGGGCCATGTATGTAATTTTTAGTGGCTATATTAGCAAAAATAAAAAAGAAACGTGACATTAATTTCAATCACATATCGTATTTAACCCAGTTTATCTAAAATATCATCATTCCATCGGTGAAGTAAGTGTAAAAATGTTAGTGTTTTACATTCTATTTTTCATACTGAGCCTTCAAAATTCGAAATGTATTTGACACTTACTCATATTACTGTCCAGACAGGCCATGTTGTACGTGCTCACGAGCCACACACCTGGCTCACGGCCACCTTATTGGGTAGCACAGTGGTGGATCCTCTGTTGGAAGATCAATCTTAATCCCCAAGAGCTTTTCCTGTCTCCTAACTATTCCCTTTTTAACAGCCTGGTCCAGACTCATGATTGTATCTTAAGTCTCATGTTTCTCTTCCCTTCCCTGATCATCTCTCTTCTGTAGAGCTGGGTTGTTTGTCCCACTGGTGTTTTTTTTTTTTAATGTTTTATTTATTTCTGAGAGAGAGAGAGAGAGAGAGAGAGACAGCGTGAGCAGGGGAGGGTCATAGAGAGAGGGAAATAGAGTCTGAAACGGGCTCCAGGCTCTGAGCTGGCTGTCAGCACAGAGCCTGACGCGGGGCTCAAACCCACGAACCTTGAGATCATGATCTAAGCTGAAGTCGGATGCTTAACCGACTAAGCCACCGAGGCGCTCCTGTCCCACTTGTGTTTTACTCAGATATCTGGTGATCTTTAGTCGTTGCTTATTTCTAAACGGATTAGAATGAACGGAGTCCACCCTTGGCTGGGGTTCCTTCCTGCACCACGGAGGTGACATCTCTACCCTCCCTGATCTCGAGGCTGCTGGGGTCTGTGGAGGCGGGCAGAGTGCACAGACTGGCAGGCTCTCCTTTAGGGAACAAGGATGGGGAGCAGATAAGCCTGGGGACCCCACAGACGCTGAGCTACAGCTAGTTCCACCGAAGCCCTGACTCGCCCGAGGCAGCGCTGGCGTCGAGGACGGTCTGTGACACTGCCGTCCGCTGAGCTAAGGTTGGGGGGGAGAGGGTGGGGGTGTGGCTGCTCTCAGGGTGCGTGGTTAGTAACAGCCTGATCACGGCTGCGCTGCCCACCCCATCCTGGCCTGGCTAGAGGTTTCTCCTTTGTTCCTCTTCTCCCGTCTGCTTCAGCCACGTCCAGCACGGAAGCTGGTTGTGGTCGCCGTCGCTCAGCAACGCAGCGACGTTCCGGGCATTGTGATGTAGCCCAACAGGGAGTGGGCTGGGGGTGTAAGCAGCCTTGCCTCACTCAGATGGATGTAGAGGAGTGTAGACGATTGATGCTCCCGGAAGAGACCACATGGAGGGGAGCGTGTGGGGCACGGGCAGGGGCCACTGGG